TCACTATCATTGGCATTATCATCATGTTTACTATACTTAGATATTATTTCCATCCTCATTTCTTTAGCTCCTTTACTACGCTTCTGTTAATCTTGTGCTTAGGGTCCATGTAATAGGCAATGCATCAATGAGAATTCACCATGTCCAAGAGTCTGTGGCAGAACGCTTGAGAAGTTCTCAGCTCTTTGATTTCTTTTATGTTAGTTAGGGTGAGGGCTACCTTACCTCTCATTGCCTCTTTGTTTTAGTAATACTATCACACCATGGACTGTTTATAAAGGTGTGTTTCAGGAGGAAGTAGCTTATTTGACACTAGGTATATTTTCAGCATTAGTTAGCTCTCAGTTAAATTAGGATAACTTTCAGGAAAGGTAACGAGGGGTCTGATTCTTGATTAATTTACTACCCACTGAGTAAAAATAAAAGTACTGTCTTTTGTTTTGTTTCACCCAGAAACATACTTCTCCCAAGGCAAGCTTTCTAGTTCTAATATCTGAAAGCTCTGAATTAACAAACCTTATTTGGGGGCTGCAATTACTCCCTTGGCCTATTGATTTTCTGTTTTGCAGTTTTTTACTCTCCTTTAATTAAGTTTATTGCAACAAGTCCAACGGTATGAAAGTATTCACCTGCAGATGAAATAGGCTACCCGTGTCCTTCCCAAGCTGACAGAGCTGACGTGTGTTCTGCACATATTCTTTATAACAAGCTTCTGCCGAACCCTCTTTGCCTTGCTCCCCATAAACACAACAGTCCTACCTGTTAGGTTGAGACATTAAAACTTATCATTTTGATGGGTCCCTACTACTCTTTTATGCCAGCCACAGGCTGCGCTGTATTTCCCATCTTGTGTGCATGCCTCACGTGTCTCTTCCTGGGTGAGCTGCTGCTGCTGCCCTTGGCCTGGACCCCCACCCCACCCCAGTTCTACTTGCACCTACCTCAAAGATGCGCATCTTCCCACTTCTTAAGCTCCTTTTACCTCCACTGTCTAAATTACATTTGTGATTGCCTAACTCACACAATGTAGTAGTTTGCTATTTATATATGTAATACAGATGTCATGTGTTTGAGAGGGTTTTTTCCTCTAGTTACTTTGTATTCAGTTCCCTTACTAGACCTTGGTGCCTTGTTCCAAAATATTATGTGTACTATATCTGCACTTGTTACAGTGTTACTCTAAGGACATATAGGACAAGCTACAGGTGTTTATTCATTGAATCTGTCATAATACTGTATGGCCTCTTTTTCTAAAAGGGCAGTCACCAGTACTGACATTTAGTAATGCTTTATAGTAGGGATTCTCATGAATAAAATTTTTCTTGATAAAGAATTTTCAAGGTTATTTAACGTAATTGAAATCCATCAGAGAAATGATCTCCGGCCCTAGGTCTACCTCCCAAACTAACTAGAGTCTGAGAAAATTTCTATTTACCAAAACTTAGAGGCATTGCCCAAAGCATTAGTGATACTCATGATACTTTCCCCCAGCACAATAAGTATAGTATTTAATGATTTGTTACAAAATTCAATTATGTCTTCTTGAGTCTTCAAAAATTAAAAGTCCTTGAAGATATCAATATGTAATACAACCACCATTGTTAATTCCCTACCACTTTGTTTGTAACTCTGTATTGTCTGTATTGTGCTTGTGATATGTGTAAAATGTTGTATGTCTGTTAATGTTTCCCTCCTTTTATCCTTAAAATAAAAAAAAAATTAAAAGTCTTAAAAAAAATCAGTGACCATTTTATATCCTCCCTATCAATCTACTTTTATTTTCATTAATATTTCTAATGTATTTCTCATATAATAAACATTCTCATTAATATTTCTTAGGTTGATGTAATTTCATTCATATTGGGAATCACGATATAGATTATGAGATTTTTTTTTTTGGATGATTTTAAAATGTTTGCTTGAGTCTTGAGTTTAGGCCTTCAAATTTAAACGAATGATCCTTTTTAAAGAAAATATCTCCATCTAGTGGACAAACTGTTATATTACAATTTAAAAAGAAAAGTTGATTAGGGTAACTCCTATCAAGCTTTTTTCTGACCTGTTAACAAATGTTTTGGTTTTAATAAGTAATATTGTGGCAAAAACACTAAACATTGTGATACACTTACCAATATTTTCCAAGAGTTATAGTGGGGTGTCTCTGTAAGTTGACTTCCTTCATGAAATAGAAAAAAAAGTTATAATTTAAAAATATAAACTACAGATTTTTTTAGTTTTGCAATTTACTCAATTGAAGTGAGAAAACCTAAGCCAAGACTTATACTCCTAGACTTCTCTATTTATGTTCATGCAGAACGAGGGTATGCTATTTTTTATTTTCTTAAGAGTAACATCATTTTAATATTTTTTTAAAAAAACTCAGCCTGGGCACTTTTTATATGTGTTCATATTCTTAGGTCCTCATGCTGAATAGCTGCTGTGACTCTTTCCTTAGAAGAAAAATCCACTCCTATCTGTCTTTAAAAACCCTCTTTAAACATCTCCTCTCTGGAAACTTCTCATGTGTCCCACCTTTATTTTTGTATCTCAGTCTGCTCATAGTAGGTACTTAAAGTGCTTATTTAAATAAGCACATGCAAGAGGAGCTTGCCTGAAATTTAATGATTAGGAATTCAATGATAGAAATTTAATGATTTAATGATTATGAATTCTTTTTATTGATTAGAAATTTATCTGTTTGATGATCAGAAATACTGTTTAATGATTAGAAATTCTTTTCATCTCTGGCTTTTCTTGGGATAGTCAAAGTGCATGTATATGCCTGCCTGTCCTGTCCAGGTGAATCAGATACCCTGGGTTTGGTGTCACAGTTACTGACATGTATTTTTGATTATGTAAGTATATAATTGAGCTGGGATGACTTCAGGGGCAATAGATGATTGAATCTAGTTATCTCAGTGACTTTGGTCAATTAACTTTTCCAGGACCTAGTATCCTTATCTATAAAATGAATCTGTTCAGCTTGGTAACTTCACATTGTCCTTACAAGTACTGAATAAGTGCATTTGTAAGCTGATGCATTTTTAAGAAAATTTTAAATTGAAAAGCATGTTGTTGACTGGTCAAGCTATCTTAAAAGATTTCTTTTTGCTTTTTTTTTCATGGACTGATTTGGAGATGAAGTTCTTTGGTCGTAGATCGATCCATGAAATCCAGTAGTTTATTGTCCCAATTCAGCTTTCAATCCTTGAATTATAACACTGTTTGCTAATAGCTCCAATAAGGAAAATAAAAGGTTTTCCAAAATATCTGGTTAACGGTTTGGATAAAAATTCCAATGGAAAAAACACTGATGACAGCTAAATGTTTTCTTCTTTTTTTTTTTTAAGATAAAAGGAGGGAAACATTAACAGACATACAACATTTTACAACATATCACAAGCACAATACAGACAATACAGAGTTACAAACAAAGTGGTAGGGAATTAATAATGGTGGTTGTATTACATATTGATATCTTCAAAGTGGCTTCTCATGAAAACAGATACAGACATGCAATACTGGTCAACCAAAGACTCATTGACAGTTTCTTTCAGATAGCTAAATGTTTTCCTTTAGTTATTCACCTTCCTTTTTAAACCACATACCCCCTGGACTGCTTCAAACTGTGACTCTGCTCCCCTAGGAACACATGACAGTTGACTTGAACACTGACTAAGGTTTCACTAGACTAGCACTTTGTGGAAAATGCACCTAGATTATAAGGACAGCAACCTTCAAATCTGCGTACATGTTTTTTTTTTTTTTTTTTTTTTTTCTCCTTCTAATGCTAGTCTTTGCTGTCAAACATAGTACCAGTCACTCATCCGATCATTGAGTCAAGCCTTTTAGTTAGGGATTGTTTTTCACTTTTGTTTCTGTTTTCTGTTTTTGTGGTGCTAGGGATGATCCCAGGATCTTTAGCATACTAGGCAAGTGCTCACTGCCAAGCTATACCCCTGCCCCAGCAAAGTTTCGGAAATGCCGAGCTTAACACTAAGAATGCAAGACTGAGTCTCCATTTTCCAAAAGTTCACAAGTTAGGAATGCAGACAAAGTGGTGAAGCTGCCAGTGCATTGCTAGTTCTGTCACTGGGCATGGGAATCTATCGTGGGAGCACAGAGAAAGAGCATTTCGTGCTGCTCTAAGGTAGCAGAGAAGCTTTTCAGAAGCAGGCCAAGTCCTCAAGGATGAATGATAGTTAGGCAGGGAAGAGGGGCTAAGCAACTAGAACAGCAGGAGGTTAGGCGGTGATAGCTTGTGACCAGAAAATGATGACTCAGTATCAGGGGGGTTGGGAATACCGGACAAATGTCGGGAAGGTGAATAATTGTGATTAAGAGCAGATGGTTGACTTTCCACATAGCAAAGAGGTTTGGACTTCATTCTGAGGCTTATAGTGGGTTACTAATGGGTTTTAAATGGAAGAATAGTATAGATTTGCATTTTTTAAAATTTATACTTATTACAGGCTGGGAAATGAACTCAAGAGACTAATTACAATGACTATTTTGATAATGTAGGTGAGAATTGATAGACTTTCAAATATTAAATGCTAGTAATGAGGGATGGAGGGAATAACAGAAGCTAGTGATCAGATAGGAGTAGTGGGGAAGGCAAGAAGACCAGGTCTGGGTGAGTGACGAGGACATGGTGCACATGATGGGCAGTTGTTGAACAGAAGTGACATATTTAGTGAGTTACTATGGATCTGCGCTTTTCTGAAAGGAAATTTGGTACTTAGAAGAGCTATTTTTGTAGAAAGTTCCTTTTTAACTAAAGTTAAATTGGGTTTGTGTCTGGTCGAAACTTTAAGAAAACAAGAACATAAAGCCAACGTGTTTTGTGTTTTTATTTATTTCAATATTCTCATTCTTTACCAGCAAGAATTAGCTGCAAGTTTTTCCCCTGTCAACTTCTGAGCTAAAGCTACACCCTTGGCTAAACCACCAACCTACTAGTGTTCACAATAACATAATTGCTTTTCTTTCACTGACAGTTTCGATGTGGACAATGGCACATCTGCGGGACGGAGTCCCTTGGATCCCATGACCAGCCCAGGATCTGGGCTAATTCTTCAAGCAAATTTTGTCCACAGTCAACGCCGGGAGTCCTTCCTGTATCGGTCAGACAGCGACTATGACCTCTCTCCAAAGTCTATGTCCCGGAACTCCTCCATCGCCAGTGATATGTGAGTATGAGAGTGGGTAAAAAGAAGAGGGAGTGCCTGTAGGAAACCAAGTAAACTCATGTCAAGAGTTGATGATGGGGGCCGGGGATATAGCTCAGCGGCACAAGTGCCTGCCTGGCAAGCGCAAGGTCCTGAGTTTGATTCCTGGTACAAAAAAAAAAAAGAGTTGGTGGGATGTAGTCAGTGATTTGGGCTCTACTGCAATGCTGTCTTCTAAAATAGAAAGGAGGAGTAAAGTATACAAGCTCAGAATGAATGGTAACTGTATGTTGACTACACTGTCACTCTTGATAAGAAGCATTAGTTTTCCTAGAAAATTCACTGGGGAGAGTGAGGATTAAATTTGTAATAGAAACTTACACTTGAAACATCAGCTTCAGGCTGAGGATTTAGCTCAGTGGCCCAGTGCTTTCCTGACAAGTGTGAGGTGCTGAGTTCGATTCCTGATACCAAAAAAATTAGCTTATATTTATGTAAGACCTGAGTTTTAGCTCCTCAAGTGAAAGGGGTATTTTATAATATTTAAAAAATCTTTAGGGGCTAAGGATTTAGCTCAGCAGCATAGTGCCTGCCTGGCAAGCGCAAGGTTGTGAGTTCGATCCCCGGTACGGGGAAAAAAAAAAAGCCCAAAAAATAAAAATAAAAGAAAAAATTGAAAATCTTTAAACTCAGTTTAAAAATCTATTATACAAGAGTGGGTGGGGTTTTGGAAATATCTCAGTTGATGTATGTCCAGATGTTGGCACTTGTTTGCCAGATCACTGGAGAAATCTTTTGTAGGGGTTTTCTCAATTTAAACTGATTTTTAAATAGTGAATCACTAGAGTCAACCACAGAAAACATTAGACAGACTTGAATGTGCTTTAAAACATGACACAAATTGGAAAATAATTAAAAGAGGAAAGTGGATTTGCACATTTAAGTTGTCATTAGCTCACTTTTGTAGCACATTTTTGTGTTTGTTGTACTATTCTCTGTATTCATGAATCTTTTCATACAGATATCTGTTCTGTCATTTTTTATTTTCTCTCTCCTCTCTCTCTCTGCCAACCTCCCCCTGACCCTCTTCCTCTCTCTCTGAATTGGCCTCAACTTCTCTGAATCTAGACATTTGTCTAGCAACACTCAACATCTCCTGCCACCACGTCAAGTATTCATAACAGTTTGCTGTTAGCCTTATAGGATTTATTCTCTAGAAGGTCCCTTAAGGTTACTTTTGGTATCATAACAGATCTGCAAGATATTGCAGTAGGTCTTAAATAAGATCTTAGAAATGTTTTGTTTTACACATTATTATAACATATAGTTCTTGTTTGCTATTTTTGAGTAGTTGCATTATTGGTGTTCATTGTTCTTTGTCTTCAAACAATTTTCTTTTCCCAATAATATTATTTCTATGTTATTCTTGTCCTACTTTCTTAGGGCTTAAAATTTGAGACTTTTATATATTCATTCCAGCAAAATGTAAATACTTTTTGAGGACCATAATGTATATGAAGTTCTCAATTTGTGGGGCAGTGAAGTCAGCATTTTGGACCATTATAATAAAATACGACAGGCACCTGTCATGAAGTGACAGGCACCAACCTTTACAAAGTACTGCAGGAGCATGGAGAAGAGAAGGAGGATTCTCTGACCAAGAGTAGGGGCAAGAAATTAACATGCTAAGAGGGAAATATTTTAAAAATGTGAAGAATGGAAAAAGCATGGCTCAGTTTAAAAAAAAAAACAGACAGTCTGTTTGGTGTAAGTAGAAAAATGTGCTAAGAGAAAAAGAAGAGTCAAATAGTTTGGAACTTGACAGCTGCAGAAGTTTTTAGCTGGTGCTTGGCCTGATCATATTCCTGTTTTCATGCATTATATTTACTTTCATGGAATTACTGCACAGTGAAATTGACTACAGGAAAGTAGTTCATGTCAAGTTCACAGAAACAAATATGATAAAGAACTAAATCAAGACAGTGGCAGTGAGACAAAAAGGTTGGACCAGGTGCAAGAGGCACCGAGCTTACCTGAGTGTGTGCACTGGTGTGCATGGGGACAGCCATTCAGGAAAGAGATCAAAGGAAATGCTACCATCTCCATCCTGAATGAGTAAACAAATGATGTTCACATGAGAAATAAAAGGCCAATAGTGGATGATATAATGATAGATAATAAGTAATGATTTGGTTTTTATAGGATAAGGATGGGGAGCAAAGAAGCACTATTAACCACAAGGACCAAGAGGAGAAATGACAGTTCAGAGAACTAGGAGGAAGGAGACTAACCAGTTATCTTCTGTAATTACTAGGTCATTGGATGACAGTTGACTCAGGGGTCTTAGGTAATAGAATTAGAAGCCCAGTAGCTGAGGAGTGAATTGAGAGTGAAGATCCAAAACAGTGCACACATCTTTATAGAAGAGTAATGAGCAAAGCAAGGAGAGAAGGGAGGCTGCCTGAGGAAGAATTAAGTTTAAGGGGATTTTCAAGCATTTTAAAGTTTGAAATATTATTAATTTTAAAAATATTTTTTAATTTAATACTTGAACTTGGTAAAGAATCTCCAAGATGTAGACTAAAAATTCAAGAAAGAAAGGATGGTAAAAATAAAGTTATAGTTGCTGACAAAAGTCTGATCTTAAGCTCAGTTAAAGAGACTCCCTGAAAAAGTACTAAATATTGTGTTCTTTAGGAATAAAACAAGAAAAGAGAAACAAAGGAAAGGTGGAACTATCAATCTGGAGCTCAAAGTAAAAGGTTTAGAGAAGCAGTGGCTAGTGTGAACTCTACTTTGCCACCAAATAGAAGGTATCACCATTAATAACAAGGAGAGAGGGGTGGAGCTTGACAGGAGAAAAGGCTAAGATAGCCACTGTGCTGATGAGAAAGGAGAGAAGAGAGATTAGGAGAAGAATGCTGAGCATAAACACATAGGGTTATAAATAAGGTGAGGCAAGATTGAATGCTAACACTCTGAAACACTAATTAGTACTCTAACATTTAATATAGACAGAAGGCAAGAGAAAATTCACAATGAGTTAAGTGGGTTCTGCTTTATATATTTATGTTCTAAAATCATGTAAACTGACCTTTGGATGCTAATATATACAGATTACTTCATATCTTCTACTCATGTTAGTAAACATTAAACATACATATGCATTTTATGAAAAGCCTGCAGCATTTCATATTTAATTAGAGAATCTATTTCCAGAGCCCACTTTGGCCTTATCTTACCCTGAACCAATATAAGAGTTTCTTTGTTTGATCAGACTCATATAAAATGGACAAATTGAACCAGACTGTGATGCAGCTCAATGTATTCTTAAGAAATAATATCTTGGCATTCTCAGCAATCCCATTCCCTCAGATATTTTCAGTGGAGCAATAAATTTTTCCTTTTGCATCCACTGAAACCTGGAAAGCATTCTTTGCACCTGGGGGACAAAATTTCTGTATGAAGAAAATAAAATAGAATAAATAATTATCCATTCAATATTCCATCTGATACAGCAGATAAATTCTACACATATGACATTATGCCTTCTTTTTGTGGATTTCTGATATGGCCATGTGTAAACCTGGTTTTTTTACCTTACCTTGTTCAGAATGATGCTGTGTAGATTCTCCAGTGTCTATAATTCACCTGCTTTATAGACAGCATTACATTTTATTCACTTAATGATTTTATATCTATTATTTTAGTTTAGCTTTCCTATGGGAAAAATCCCTTAGAAATTTCAAACACAAACACTACCAAGAAAGGTTTATATCTATTCAAATGAAATGTCTTGGAAAACCTTTCAATGCTTTGTAATTGTGAACACAAGTGCTTAATTTATTGATAAAGTGAGAAGTAGGTAATTATTTCCTCATAGAATGTCATAACCTCATCTTCCATAAATAGATACTAGTAAAATAGCTGAGACATAAGGAGAAAAAAACAGTAGTGATAAAAATGATAATCATAATGCATATTGCACATGTATATTACTGTTCATTTTTCTGAGTAGCTCTTTTTTTCTGAAACTTCATGTTCCTTCTTAGGGCTGGAGTTTGGAGGTTTTTTTTTTTTTTTCAGTTTTTTATTAGCATATGTTTGCTGTGTATAATTATTACATTTATTGTGGAGAATTTGCACCTGAACCTAATACATCTTAATTCTTTTTGCCCCCTTCCTCTCACATCTCTACCTGCTCCCTCCAGTTCTTGTTTCCCTTCCCATTTGAAAAAGGTCTATTTCCATTTTCTTTCTTCAATCTCAGTTGACACTCCACAGACCTTTCAGTAGTGAAGTTATGCTGTTTTAATATTGAAAGATCGATAGCTCAATGATTGTATTTTTTTGTGAACATGACAAACACTTTAATCATTCCTGGGAGAATATTATTTTTATATTGCAATTGTGAAAAAAATGCTGTGAACCACTGCAGCAAGGCTAAATTCACTTACACAAATGAATTTCTTAGCCCTATGAACATCTGACTAAGAGGGGCTGGGGATGTAGCTCAGTGGCATAAGTGCTTGCCTGGTAAGCTTGAGGTCATGAGTTTGATTCCCAGTACCAAAAAAAAAAAGAAAAAGAAAAAGAAAAAAAATTTGGCTAAGAATAAAGTACGATAAAATCTTAAAGTGACCAAAAAAGCAATCAAACAAAAGTACAGCTGACTCAAGCCTACATTATACTCAGGATCTAAATATGTCATGTATGTAAGGCAAAAGAGAAGTACCTGGCAGCTTCTATCTCAAGACTATCACAAAGTGTATTAAATATAGACACCACACTAGCAACTTAATTCTTAATGAAACTAAGAAATTTTTGAAAAGGTAAATATTAGCGTAAGCATGATAAAGAAATAAACACATGCAAAGCAAATTTGAATTACTATTGATAGTAGAAACAGCTAGGTGATGGAAGGTTGCCCTAGTAATGCCACGAAGAAACATAAAGAAAATTACAGAACAAACAGATCATAACATTTTCTCTCTTAAAGTTCTTCAAAACACATTTAGAAT